TGGTGAGGTCGAGATATCTTTGCTTATAAATAAAAAAATTGGGTTGATAGACGTTTTGAATTTTTTAAGACTTTGAGCAAAGATATCTCGGAAACCACCGGACAAATTTCAATGAACTTTTTTTTATTTGAATTCTACGAATGCATAGAACTCAAATAAAAAAAGTTTATTGGATTTGACTTGGTGGTTGTCAAGACATCTTCGCTCAAAGTTCGAAAAATTTTAATTTGCATGGGGTATGAATAACAATTCCTTTATTTGGCTGTATATAAATAATATATGGATGCGAAGCAGTCAATAATGTATACCTATCTAACTATAAGAAATAAAAATGAAATGCGACATTTTTTTTTAAAAAAAAAATTTTAATACAATTAGCAAAATATATCCACATGGCCTTGAATGAATTATTTCTTCTTAATGAGCATGATCTAATGTCGTGGCTGATTTTTTAATCACGAGTTTTTTAGGTATTAAATGATTTGTTATAACAAATAACTGCTAATGTCATGATAATTCATTTAGTAAACGAATATAAATTTAGATTATACAGTCCTGCTTTGACTAAAGCAAATAATTTGTTCGTAACTATTTGTCCGTTTAAGCTTATTATTGATATTAAGATGTGGATATTTTACGAATTAACGAATTCTGGTTATCATTTCTACAATTCATCGAGTAAATAAATTCATGATTTTATTTGAACTTTCACATATATTTTCTTTAATATATGTTTTTAATATTCGTTCAAGGGTTTCACAGGCCAAAAAGTCAAGATATATTATAAATAAGAAATAATTTCTGAATAGAAAGTAAACGAACCTTTTTTTGATATCGATGTACGGTAATTTATCCAAAAGCTATTCTTTAATCAAATTTGTGTAGTTAATTAAAGAATTAACGTTAACGGGCAGTCACAAAATCTATTGTAAATTAACGATATTGACAAATTTAAAATTTGGAACCGCTTATAATTTTCTTACCGTTTCCGTTTAATCGTTTACGTGGACAAATGGTTATAATCCCTAAATATTTCATTACCAAAATTTGAAAATTTTGACCACCGATCGTGAGTCATTTAGTTGACTATCGTTATTGATAAAATGAATATCGAAAATTAATGTTAACTTGGTAATGTATATTACGTATAATTAATAAATTTAGTTATATCATAAAAATATAATATATTATAATATTACGATATAAGACTTATAAATTAGATTTCAATATTATATCATTTTATACTACAACATTACAATATTATATTATATTTAAAAAATCGCAGCGTTGCAACGCTAGTTGCGCCATAAAAAAGCCGCAATGAATATTTCAACAAGCGATACTAAGTTATCATTCAGCATTTCAACTTTTTTTTTTTTCTTTTGCGTAATACTAATCAAATAAAAAATACGTAAATTAAAATTTTTTACTAAACATTCCAATCAGGAGCTTGTTTTTGAATTCATATTCAATTGAATTAATTTCGTTTAAATTGGAGTATATGTACAGTAAGTTGTTGAAAAACATAATTTTTCCAATTTTTTACTATGACAATTAATGTTAATGGTATTATTTAAGATGACAAAACTGACTAAAGCACAAATTTAGGCTATTCTCAAACGCTTTCTCATGGTTTACAGGATGATCTAATTAGTTAAAAAAAATAATAATTCAAGTCAAAAAAAAACCTAAAGATGACGACGCCCCTTTTGTTAATTTGATAGATTAAAAGATTAATTTAAGTTAATCAAATTAATCGTTAAATAACATCTGACACCGGCAAGTTATAATACTGCTTGAGAACAGTTCATATATAGTCAATAAATTAATATAAAATCTGAATTAAGAAATATATAACTTGGCATTTATATGACGTCCTCAATACTTAAATTTATTCAATTTCTTTAAAGCCATACAAGGATAATTTTTTGGTTCACATAAATGACACGACAACCCGTCCAAATATATATATATATAAGTATATAAATGAACTGTAATAAAACTCTCCGAATAGTAATTTAAATTTTTATAGCATACTGTCACATTGATAACGATATCGGAATTTAATATTTAAAAAAACAAGCCATTCTTTGAATACTTCTAATTTTATATAAAAATGATTATGAAAAATTAATGACAGAATAATTTAAAATTTACAATTATATCAGTTTAGTTTCTTTAAAATTTGGTAATAAAAAATTTTGAGATTCAAAGTTATGTGTTCATTAAAGTTGGGTTTTAGATTATATTTAAGATAAAAGATATGTTTTGGGATGTTCTAAAATTTCTAAATTGTCCAAATTATCCTAAATTGAACTATATTTTTACTAATACGAAAGCACTAGCGATTAACATAAATGCATTTTGGGACACATTTTGTTTCAAGCTGAAGATTTATAACGCAGTTTATTGTATTCGTGATTAAATTGGCTGATGATGGAATAATTATGATTGGTCATTAATATGAAGAAAAATCGGTATTAAAAAGAATTAACACAAAGCGTTCGAATATTATCAAAATAATCCTAAATCGCGACAGTGATTATTTTACTTAACCCGATTTAAAGTTTGATATTTTGAATTTAGAATACATCAGAACAAGAACAAGTGACTTGTTCGCATTACTTAATGACGAAGAAATAAAATATGTTATCGAAATTCTATTTTGTATAATTTTATTGTAATGATTTAATTTTACTCGCTTTAATTTTAATACGTACGTAGTAGTTATGTTATGTCATGTCGATTATTGCTGCGCCAATAATAGGTAGTTGATAAGTCACGTGTTTGTCGTATCCTAAATTATTTGTCAAAAAATCCTAAAATCCAAAAAAAACAAACCACTTACAAGAACAACATTATATAATTATATAAGAGTCATTTCAGTGTTTACGGCATCAAATTCATCAAATTTTATTGGTCGATCTCAATCACGCAGATTTTGTTTAGATAAATACGTAATTTTCAGAAAATTTTTTTTTAATTCACGTGGATTGCTTTTACTGATACAGTTGTGAAGATTAAATTTGACGCTAAATAATTAAAGATTGTTTTGATTAAAAACAATCATTACAGCATTACAAATAAAAAATTATCGCAATCACCATCTTAAAATATATACGTTTTCTAATAAAAATTCTACTCATTGATCTATGCAAAGCATTTATATTTGCTTCTTCACTTTTAGATATCGATATAACCTTGTTGATTTCTGATTTCATCTTAAAAAGTCTCGCCTTTTACTTTTTACTATCTCGTTTGAAAAAAGGTATCCTTTGATACGATACAACTCTTTCTTTTTTTTAAAAAAAACTAAAACATTAAGATCAAAATAAAAAAAATTTATCTATTCTAGTTATTTTTGTCTAAAGAATCTTTAACGATCGCAAATACAATATATAAAAATCTCGCCTTTTTTACTTTTTACTATCTCGTTTGAAAACAAGGTATCCATTATTTTGATACGATACAACTTTTTCTTTTTTTAAAAAAATTAAAACATTAAAAAAAAATTTTTATCTGTTCTAGTTATTTTTGCTAAAGAATCTTAACGACCACGAATACAATATAAAAATCTCACCTTTTCACTTTTTACTATCTCGTTTGAAACAAGGTATCCATTATTTTGATACGATACAACTCTTTCCTTTTTTTTAAAAAACTAAACCATTAAGATCAAAAAAAAAAAAATTTATCTATCCTAGTTATTTTTGCCTAAAGAATCTTTAACGAACACAAATACAATATATAAAAATCTCGCCTTTTTTACTTTTTACTATCTCGTTTGAAAATAAGGTATTCATTATTTTGAAACGATACAACTTTTTCTTTTTTTTAAAAAAATTAAAACATTAAGATCAAAATAAAAAAAAATTTATCTATTTTTCCTAAAGAATCTTTAGCGACCACGAATATAATATATAAAAATCTCGCCTTTTTACTTTTTACTATATCTTTTGAAACAAGGTATCCATTATTTTGATACGATACAACTTTTTCCTTTTTTTTTAAAAAAAAAACTAAACATTAAGATCAAAATAAAAAAAATTTATCTATTCTAGTTATTTTTGCCTAAAGAATCTTAACGACCACGAATACAATTTATAAAAATCTCGTCTTTTCACTTTTTACTATCTCGTTTGAAACAAGGTATCCATTATTTTTATACGATACAACCCTTTCCTTTTTTTAAAAAAACAACCATTAAGATCAAGAAAAAATTATCTATTCTAGTTATTTTTGCCTAAAGAATCTTTAACGACCACGAATACAATATATAAAATCTTGCCTTTTTACTTTTTACTATATCGTTTGAAACAAGGTATCCATTATTTTGATACGATACAACTCTGTCCTTTTTTTTAAAAACTAAACCATTAAGATCAAAAAAAAAATTTTTTTATCTATTCTAGTTATTTTTGTCTAAAGAATCTTAACGACCACGAATACAATATATAAAATCTCGCCTTTTTACTTTTTACTATCTGTTTGAAACAAGGTATCCATTATTTTGACACGATACAACTCTTTCTTTTTTTTTAAAAAAAATTAAAACATTAAGATCAAAATAAAAAAAAATTTATCTATTCTAGTTATTTTTTCCTAAAGAATCTTAAGCGACCACGAATACAATATATAAAAATCTCGCCTTTTTACTTTTTACTATATCTTTCGAAACAAGGTATCCATTATTTTGATACGATACAACTCTTACTTTTTTTTTAAAAAAACTAAAACATTAAGATCAAAATAAAAAAAAAATTTATCTATTCTAGTTATTTTTGCCTAAAGAATCTTTAGCGATCACGAATACAATATATAAAATCTCGCTTTTTATTTTTTACTATATCGTTTGAAACAAGGTATCCATTATTTTGACACGATACAACTCTTTCTTTTTTTAAAAAAATTAAAACATTAAAAAAAATTTATCTATTCTATTATTTTGCCTAAAGAATCTTTAACGACCACGAATACAATACATAAATTACTTTACCAAAATGAATCCTACAGGACATAGAGGTATAAAAAAAAAATCATTGTATATAGTACTACCTGTACTATGATCCATGTTCAAAATTTTTCTTCCAGAGTAATTTTTAAACCCTTTAATTTTTTTTAGATGCACAAGTCGATCGTTTGGTTAGAAGTCTCTCGTTAGATGAAGATGAGTGGAATAAGTCTGAAAATGAATCAATGGATGTTGATCATTTTTTGAGACACAATTCTAGAGACGAAAACGCCGATAATTGGGAACCAAACAGATATGAAATCGACCGTATTATTGCTCATAAAGTTATAAATGTAATTGTTGCGTAAAAATTCTTTTTTCAATAATTCTTTTTTTCAATTTATGAATTATAAACATATTATTTATTTATAGGGTCAAGACCTGTACCAGATTTCCTGGAAAGGGTATTCCAAATACACGTAATTCCTTTACTTTTAATATATTAATTGTTATACTGTACCTTTTCTTTTTTTTTTTTTTTAATATTCTATTTGATTATTAATTCTTGTTTTGTATCATTAGCTGGGAACCTGCTGAGAATCTTGACGATTGCCGAGAAAAGTTGGATGAGTTCCTTAAACTTTCCGACGAATTAAAAATCGCCGATAGAATTACTGATGACTTTGATCCCAATGAAAGCACGCTGTTTCTAAACGCGTTACAGGACGCTAACTATGTGAATTATGATCTGTATGACGAATTCATTCTTGGCCGGACAAAAGGTCCTACCTTTGTGTCCGAGCCAAAAATAGAAAGGTATGTGATCTTAATGTTTTTATCATGTGCACAAATTAAATAAACCATATCACATTTTTTTAATTATTATTATTATTATATTTTCAAAGCGTCCCCATCGCCGAAATCGGCGAAAGGGGACAGCTTGAAAACCATGCCAAGCTACAAGAAGAGTTTGATACATTTGACCTATATGACTTGTATTAGTCTTCTTTGTTTTTAACTCATGAATTTCAAGGAATTATCATGTTTTTTAATTTTAATAAAATTTAAATTTAAAATACGTATATATATATATGTATTAAACAATTATCATCGATCGAATGTGAAGTTTGCGATTTTGCAGATGTAAATCGCTTAACTCAATATACTTCGTGTTATTATATAGCACTCTATTCCCGGTATAAATCATGTTAGTTGGTTCAAAAAATATTGTGCTTTTTCAAGTACTGTATTGATTATTCAGAATTATAGTACTATAATAAAATAAAAAAAATTTAACATCTAATACGTAATTTGACTGATTGATCAATAAATAAATCTTATACTCAAATGCTGTATTTTTTTTTACAATTAGAATAAGGTTGAATTTGTAATCAATAAAATAAAACCTTTTACTTAATTATTAAAACAAGCGAAACATCCATCATCGTTGCACTCAAGATATTGGTCAGTTCTAGGTAAGGAAACCAATTTTATTTTTAAAAGAAGTTTATTTGTTGCTTTTATAATTTATTAATAGTTTACTTTACTAATTCATTGCTTTAAGTCTAAATATCTTATGAAATGTAAATTAAAATTATAGTAAACTCGCAATAATTAAAATGTAGAAACAATTGAATATTTGATGTCATTTCAATATGCAAATATGAGTGTCTTCATAAATATTTAAGAGAGAATTTTAGTAAACCTACGTGGCAGAATAATTACAAATAATTAATTTTAGAAGAATTAGATTTCGCATAATTTAAGATACATTCATTATACAAGACCAACGTATTAATGAAATGCACGATCATATAGATCTTGGATGTCTAAAAAGAAAGAATATTCAGAAGGCAATATTTTTGAAGTCATGCACTATTTTGTTCTCAAAGTTAATGATGCCTGATAAAACTGATGAGACTAACTGATGAAGCCTAGCGAGAATTGACGAATTGTATGGCTTCAAATTCACGAAACTATTTACAGATTTTCATCAATTTTGACAGGCCATTATCCGTAAATTCTGATTAATATGTCGAGTTGGCAGAAAATGTACGAATTTAGGTCCACTGGAATGGTTTAGTGCTAGGGTGATTGACTTAAAAAAATTGGCTTCAGATTATGAAAACGAAATAAAAAAATGGGTTTAATTGCAGATGAATTTGATGTTTAAAAAATTAAATTATTGAATAACTATTTTTAATTGATGATACTTAAAATTTAGATACTGTATATGCAAAAATTTTTATTAATCGTTAATAATTAATAAAGCGCTATGTAATCATGAACTTAAACAAATTTATTTAAAAAATGTCATTTAATTAGTGCCTTTTCATATAATTGAAATAAACAATATTAAAAAATGCCCCAATGTATCTTTGAACCTTGTTTTATGGATAAAAAAATCATATACATTTACATTATCGACCTTAAATTCAGCGGAATTAACCAAAGATTAAGTGCTTATCGTTATATGCAAGTAGTTTTTTTATCACGTACTAAATTTTTGATCTTTTTTTTTTCTTCAATATGATAACATTACCTCTTGAATGCTACTATGCAATATTTAACAATCTCCGGCTTAATTATATAAATTTTCATGTGTTCTTGTAAACTGTCAATGGTGTAGAATTATTATCCCAATATTGTGGGACGAATCAGAACATTATTTTAAAGATATAGTAATGTTAACGTTGAAGAGCAAGCTTTTATTAATTCCTTTTAAATTACACTTCAAATTCACCCGAAACCTCTATTTTAATATCAAGTTATATTACATCAATACTAAAATTTGGCTTCATGATGAAAGTTATAACAGGACGTAAGCTTGAAAATGCCGTTAATTTTCTTGATTGAAAAAATTTCAAGAAATAGTAAGAATTTTAAATATTTATATCTTTATGAAATCATAAAATTTTTTATTAAAACACTACGACAAATCTTTGGATTTATTCAAATTTAATGCAATAATGATTCTTTATAAAAGTTCTACTCTGACTTCTTTGAATCTTAGAAATAATAAACTTGGATTTGAAGGAATGAAAATACTATTAAATGCTCTTTATAAAAATACTGCCCTAAATTCTTCAAATCTTTATAAAAATCGGATTTGTACTAAAAGTACGAAGATGTTAGCAATGGTTCTTTGTAATAGTAAAATGCTAAATCCTTGTTATATTGAATCAAAAAGGAGAAGCACATTGGCAAATAAACTTTACAAGAAACAATGCTTTAAAAGATTTAAATCTTTATTATGATGAACTTTGATTAAAAGGAGATGCACTTTGCAAAGACGTCATATTGAATCTCTGTTAAATGATCTTGGATTAGGGGAGGAAAAACATTGGCAGATGCACTTTGCAATAACATTATCTTGATTCTTTGTAATAATATAGACCAGGAGGAAAAGCATTAACGGATGTACTTTGCAAGAAGATTGCAATTACTTTGGAATAGTCTTAGAACAGATGAAGGAAAAGCATTAACAGTTGCACTTTGCAAGAATACTACGCTAACTTTAAATCTTGTTAGAAATGTTAGATCAGTTAAATCTTTATTATAATGAGGTATCCTGAATTTCGGATCTTCAATCTAATTTTGATAGCAATTTTTAAAATAAAGTAAAAGAATCAAAGCATAAAAATACAGGACATTTGTCATTTATGAATCAATGACTAACGTATCATTTTGGGATTTATCGATTTTTTAAAAAATATTTATGATCTAACGATAAAAACAAACAACACTTTTTATTTTTTTTTTTAAAAAAAATTACATGAACGAATGCTAATTAAGTTTTTTTTTTTACCGTACAGCACCGCATATTACCTTGAAGAAGTATCGGTATTAATCATGTGTCATACACCCTTCATTTGTCACAGGGTGTGACCAGTCAATTTGAGTGACAAATAAACATTTACTATATTAACACTTATTTGTCACGTAAATTGATTGATCATGCCCCTGCGCCAAATTAAAGGAGTCGATTAATATGTACCCCTTGTGTATATCCCCTCTTCACACAGTACCGCAGAGTATTATTTAATTAATTTTGGATTTTTTGCAAAAGACCGAGGTACTAGATGCAGCGCTGTACGGTAAATAATATAATTAGTAAAATATATTCACATCGACTTGAATGAATTGTACTTTTTTTCGAATGAGCATGATTAGGGTTCTGCAAGTAAACATGCCGGGCACAATTGGCACTATGCCAGGCACTGTTGGCACTATGCCGGGCAAAATAC